TAGAGGATCATTCCCTTCCTTAATTTCCCTCATTTCCAAGTGGAAGAATGCTTAATGTACTGTTGTTCTGGGCATATTCGGATCCAATACTGAAATGATGCGTAGATATTACCTAGTTCAGCCCCTTCTTCTGCACCAGAGGACACTGAGGTCTCCAGATACTAGAGGTCAGACTCCCATAGTTTCATTAGTTAATGAAGTCTTTCCAGACCCCAGAATTATGACATTTACCCTCAGAAGACCTCACAGTGACGGTCATGGCGGATAAGAGTGTGCTATTCCTCTTCCCATGTGTCCTTTTCTCTGTGCCACTGAATTCAGCTTTTCTTTGAGGATCTTAAGACACTTATAAAAATATCTCCTCTCAGAAGATTGCACTCCACCCTTTTTCACCATTCTCACCCTTCCTATCACTATTTTTTAATGCCTGAGTTGAGAAAAATTGTCCTAGCTGTGAGGTATGCAAAAATTTACAGGTATTCACACTGCTCTGTTTTGACTGTCCAGCCTAAATCTTCAAGAAATCCTTTAGCATCCTAACCTTTGGAGTCACAGTTCCAGAATGGGTAGGAGCAGCTTAGATGGCCTGCCCTGTGGGAGATCTGAGCATCCAGTGTGACAGTGATCTCTGGGGGGTGCACTTACCCGCCAAGGCCCATTCGTGGACTGGCCCACACTGAACCCTCAGCTCTTTCGGGCCCAGAGAGAGAATCAGGAGGTGTGATTTGCTACTGATTTGTTGTTACGCCACCGCCATCAGCTCTTGAGCCCATTTTCTTGTCTGTAACAGGTCTACATGAGACCGGAGCTTTGCTATTTATAATGCTTTTTGGTACAGTTTCTTGTTTCATATTCAAATCTCCTGCAGTGGGCATAGGGAATCCTATTAGCCCCATGTTCTAGGGATGGGAACTAAGAGAAGGAGGAGAAAGCAATATGGAGTGGAAGTTAAAAGCGTTAGGTAGACTCTGTCTGTACTTGTGTATTTGTGGCTGGGTGTAACTGGCCTAAGTATCTAAACCTCTTTCCTCATTTATAAAATTAGGATGACAAGAACTTTCCTCATAAGGTGGTGAGCAGGACTAAATTAGATCATGTATGTAAAATGTTTAATGTAGTATCTGGCACAAAGCTTAACAAATGATGGCTTTTATTGCCATAAAGTGATGGGTCCCTCTCATGCCTTTATAAGTGATAGAGCTGGGCCTTGAACCCAGGTCCAGTGTGTTCCCTGCACAGCCTCAGTAGAAAGCACTTACATGTGCTTGGAGTTTGTTTCCAGCTGCTTTTCTGGAGCTTGTTTTCTTTCATTGGTTGGATTCAGGGAAGCCTGCTATGGACCCTGCAGCTGCCAAGCTCTGGACCCTCTCAGCCAATGATATGGAGGATGAGAGCGTGGTGAGTCAGCACTGTGGTCACCTGATTGCTTTCTTTCAGGCCCCACTTTGGGTGGGAATGTTGTTGTTTGGAGTGGCCTCTCTGGGTTTGTAGGTGTGAAAGCATTTAAAGCCCAGCCTTGTGGCTGTGCCTGCCATTGGCATTTTTTGACTCAGAAGGAAACTCCTCATTAGTGGCATTTTAAATTTCTTTTTCAGCATCTTTCCCCCCGCAGATTTTCTTGTTCTCACTTCATGTGATATATTAAAGACTCTTGTGGGCATGCGTAAACCTGAAAAGAGTTTGTCAGCTAAAATATTTTTTGGCTCCTTCGTCTGGGCAAGTCACCAAATGCTCACTGTCTTAACAGTAATGCTCTTCCAACTCAGATCAATGCTTTCTGTAATAAAGTTCTTCATTCCTACAACTATTGAAGTTAGAGTGGTAAGCAAACTAGGCGACGGTTTGTGCCCTCACAGAGCTTACAGATTAACTGTCTACACGTTTATCGAAGAATCACACAAGTGTATATATCATTATCTGCCTTTTCCTCTGGAATTATATAGAAAATATTCCATTCCCTTTTCTCACACGACAGCCCTTTATATATTCGCATAAATATAACGCTTCTCTCTTTGTTCTTCCTGCCCCCTCCCTCCCTGCCCTCCACACACATATTCTCTGCACATCATAAATGAGTCCCCAGCCCCCTCACAGCCTAACACAGCTTCTGTGCACGTAGTGTACTCACTATGTGGTCAGCTTGGGCGTGATGATCAAGCCCAGGTAGGATGATGGCTGCCTTCTACATAGATGGGCAAACTGCTGCTGTGGACTGTGGCCACTTCACCTGTTCATTAGCAGAGACCATGACTGGGTCATTAATGGCTTCGAACATTCTCCAGGATCTCATTGACTCAGATGAACTGCTGGATCCAGAAGATATGAAGAAGCCAGACCCAGCTTCCTTGCGGGCTGCCTCCTGTGGGGAAGGGAAAAAGAGGAAGGCCTGCAAGAACTGGTAAGCCTTGGGGTGAGAAGAGGCTGCCAGGCTGCTTGTAGCTTGCTGGTCGTTGAGCGAAGCTGGGTGCTGGTGTTGAGATGGAGATCTCTGGGAGATTTTCGCCGTTTGATATTATGTGGGGCTGGGAGGTCTCTTCTTGACGAGTGTTCTGAAGTTGGCTCTCCCACCTCAGAGGCAGAGTCCTGACTCCTGGCTGGAGCAGCAAGAGCCTTTCATCCACTCGGCTCAGAATAAAAGGGAGAGAAAGTAGAGAGAATTAGTATAAGTAGGAGGAAGAAGGAAAGAAAGAAAGAAAGAAAGAAAGAGAGGAGGGAAGGAAGGAAGGAGGGAAGGAAGAAAGAAAGAAAGAAGAAAAGAAAGGAAGAAGGCAAGAAGGAAAGAAAGGAGGGAGGGAGGGAGGAGGGAAGGAAGGAAGGAATGAGGGAAGGAAGGAAAAAATACAGAAAGAAAGAAGATACAGTAAAATAAAGTATAATAAAGTTATTGAATTAAAAAAATAATTATTTAGAGCAAAATAAAAAAGGGGAGGATAGAACATTAGGACAAATGGTGGAAGCAAAGTTATAGAGACAAAATCTTACATAGAAGCATACACATATACCCTCACAAAAAGGTGAGGGTATTTTTTTTAAAATACTTTTTAAAATATTTTTTTAAAATATTTTTAAAAAATATGTATCTCAGAAATAACCAAAAAAATAATAATAATACAGGAGTGTTTACCTCAAAAAGATCAGTTTCATTTAATCATATTCTTATGATTCCAGACTTGTCATTATCTTGCCTAATAAGAAGGATGGAAAAAATCTATGTGTGTATATATATAAAATATATATACATACATATGTATGTATACATATATATGTGTATTGTGTGTGTGTTTTCCAATGTTTTTATTTCATATTTTTCATATTTATGCATACCTTGAAGATACTGTGTATTTGCTTCCAGACCACCACAATAAAGCAAATATCATACTAAAACGAGTCCCAAGAATTTTTTGGTCTCCTAGTGCATACAAAAGTTATGCTTACACTATACTATAGTCTATTAAGTATGCAATAGTGTTGTGTCTAAAAAATAATGTACGTACCTCAATTAAAGATACTTTATTGGTAAGAAATTCTGTTATCTGAGGCCTTCAGTGAGTTGTAATCTTTTTGTAATAGTAACATCAAAGATCACTGATCACAGATCACCATAAGAAATACGATAATAATGAAAAAGTTTGAAATATTGCAGTAATCACCAAAATGTGACACAGAAACCTGAAGTGAACAAATATTGTTGGATAAAATGACACCAATAGACTTGCCTGATGCAGGGTTGCCACAGACCTTCAATTTGTAGGCAAATGAAGTGATCAACAAGGGATTAATCTCCAAAATATATAAAGAGCTCACGCAGCTCAATATTTAAAAAACCAACAACCCAGTCAAAAAAATGGGCAGAAGACCTAAGTAGACATTTCTCCAAAGAAGACATACAGATGGCCAAGAAGCACATGAAAAGCTGCTCAACATCAGTAATTATTAGAGAAATGCAAGTCAAAAGTACAATGAGGTATCACCTCATACCAGGTAGAATAGGCATCATCAGAAAATCTGCAAACAACAGATGCTGGAGAGGGTGTGGAGAAAAGGGAACCCTCTTGCACTGTTGGTGGGAATGTAAATTGATACAGCCACTATGGAGAACAGTATGGAGGTTCCTTAGACAACTAAAAATAGAATTAGCATATGACCCAGCAATCCCACTCCTGGGCATATACCCAGAGAAAACCATAATTCAAAAAGACACCTGCACCCCAATGTTCATTGTAGCACTATTTAAGTAGCCAGGTCATGGAAGCAACCTAAATGCCCATCGAGAGACGAATGGATAAAGAAGATGTGGTACATATATACAATGGAATATTACTCAGCCATAAAAAGGAATGAAATTGGGTCATTTGTAGGGACGTGGATGGGCATAGAGACTCATACAGAGTGAAGTAAATCAGAAAGAGAAAAACAAATATCGTATATTAATGCATAGAAAAATGGTACAGATGAACTGGTTTGAAAGGCAGAAATAGAGACACAGATGTAGAGAACAAACATATGGACACCAAGGAGGGAAAGTGGAGGGGTGGTGGTGAGATGAATTGGGAGATGGGGATTGACATATATACACTAATATGTATAAAATAGATAACTAATAAGAATCTGCTGTATAAAAAATAAAATAAAATTCAGAAATTAAAAGAAAAACTATCTTTGAAGTACAATAAAGCAAAGTGCAATAAAACGAGGTATGCCTGTATATGTTATTTTATACATATTACTTTTGCTTGAATTCTAAACAAAAATTATTTCCACTGATTTCCCCATTGCTCTTTTTCTGCTCCATAAACCTCAAAAGCAGAAGCAGTTATATTATCCTAAGAACTAGGGTACTCAAAAAAAAGAAAAATCAGGGCCCTATCATTGTTCAATTCCAGCAGTGCCAGTCACATCATAGGTTATGCAGTGTATTCCTGTCTGACTCCTTCCATCCAAGAGCAAAACAAATGGCAGTTTTAAAACCACAGTCTGAATTACTTGTGCTTTTTTCCTAGGTGGAAATATCACCTTTATAGCCAAAGTCAAGGCTGAAGATCTTCTTAGAAAGCCCACTATCAAATGGTTCAAAGGGAAATGGATGGACCTGGCCAGCAAAGCTGGGAAGCACCTCCAGCTGAAGGAAACCTTCGAAAGGCACAGTCGGGTATGACCCTGACCTCCTGCCGCAGGGGCTCAACCAGCTCATTCCTCTGTGTGCGTAAAAGGTCATTTTCGGTTCACCTTTGAGAGACTTCAGTCCCAGAACGTCTGCTGGAGTTCCCATTCCTAGTGTTTACACTCTAATGTGGTTGCCCTGCTGTCCCCAGGGGCTTCAGAGCATTGCACTGACCCCTCCCATACTGAGAACATTGTACCGGAATCCCCAGATACAGACGTCTTTAAGCCAATGCTGAGGAACTGGGGAAATAACTGCAATGTGATGGCCTCTTTCTGTCGGCAAGGTAGGGCTGAAATATGTCCGGATACATTTCATTGCAGGTGTACACATTTGAGATGCAGATCATCCAGGCTAAAGAGAACTATGCAGGAAACTACAGATGCGAGGTCACCTATAAGGATAAGTTTGACAGCTGTTCCTTCGATCTTGAAGTACATGGTAAGACAGACTTCTAGTCTGGATAAGTTTAATTTTTTTATGTTTATGAGGTATGAGAGGATAGAGGAGATTAAGGCCATTTATTAGTATGAGATCTTGGAAATAAGATTTCCTTTAAAACTGTGTGTGTTTCTGATTGTGGTAGTCTCAGCAAGCCTGCTGAATTAAATTGTTATGAGACAATTTACAAACCGAATTTGGAGGAATTTATTGTAAATGTCTCTTATCCATGCTATCCATGCTACTTAATCTCTCAGATAAGGGCCGATGACTTTTTTTGCTGCTACTGAATGTACCTGTTTCGTTTGGTCCTCTTATTCCCACTCAGGTTTGGGGATAAGTTAATATGGGATGAAGATGCCAGGATACCCAGGTAGAAGGGAGGATTTCTCTTATAAGGACTGATGTCAGATATGGAAGTTCTTCATCTATATGTCCTGTGTACTGTCAAGAGTGAATTTAATAGGAATAAATTAAAGGTATATATGTACATAGAGGAAAAGACAATACTTCGATAAGTATACAAAGGGAAAGTTGACTTGGCAGCAAACATCATAAACTTAAAATGAATCCAAAGTGTTATGTAGCTACAAAAGACAAAGCTGAGGTAATTTAAAACCAGAGCGTTACAAGTGTTATAGGATCTATGTTTAGGAAGTGATACCACTCTGTAACATGCTGCTTGTTCCACATTTGAAGTAATGCCTTTGGCCATGGGTACCATACCTCCACTGGGATCCCTCCTGGAGTAGGGTAACTGGGAGATTGAAGAATCCAGGAACTATGCCCCCATTCAGCTTGAATGTGTAGATGAAGGAGGCCAGGCATTTATGACTCATTGTAAGTAGGGGAAGGGCTGTCACACAGAAGGAAAAGGCCATTATCCATGTCCTCGAGAAGTGTTTAGGCAGATTAGAATCAAAAGGTGGAAATTAAGAGAAGGTGAATTTTGTCTTCACGTTAGCACAAGCTCTCTCCTTAAAGCTGTATAGAGACACAGCAGAAGGTTGTGAGGGTCCCAGTCTGAGAGTTGTCAAGCAGAGGCTGGGTGACCATGGGTGGTGGTGCTGTCGAGATTTCTGTATTAAGTGGGAATTTGGTCCTGACCACTGCTTCTTCAACCTGCCCAGACACCTCTGAGAATCACCTGAGGGGCGTCTTCAGAATATTGATTTCCGGGAGCCCATCCCGGATCTGGTGAATCAAAATCTCCAGCAGGGAGATCAAGAAGCTGACATTTTTTTTTTAAACTCCTTAGGTGACTCTAATGGGCAGACAGGTGGAATGACACCTGGTTACGGTAACTCCTAAAGTCCCTTCATTGATTCTGTGTGAGGAGGGATGAGGTGCGGCGCCTCCGCAGCTCAGCCACTGGGAGGAGAGCCACCCCCCCTTCACCTGCCCTTCCTTCCATCTGAAAACCCCCCACAGCCTGGAAAGGAACTGAACACAAAACTGCCTTCTTAATGGGTATTCATTTTATTGTTTTCTTTCCTTTCAAAGAATCTACTGGGACTACTCCAAACATTGACATCAGATCTGCTTTCAAGAGAAGGTAACTTCAGAAGGGTAATCTAGGTAGCTTTTGTATAGCATGAAAGTGGAAGACTTTCAAAACACACTTTCCCTTCCTCCACACTCAATATGCCAAGTGAGATCAACTCTTTTCACTGAAGTCAAACATGCTAAATATTCAAAAGTTAGTGTTCAAGAGAAGCTGTGGGTTTAATATGCCAACTCGTGTATATGCTGATCATTTTGTAGAATATTCTTGTTATAGGAAGCTCCCATTTTATGGGTTTATGAGACTTCTTCCTTAATTGCATTATTTTCTACCAAATGGCCCGCAAAAATATATAACAACACACATCTCATATAGCATCAGTTAAGTGATATCAGAAAACTTATATTGCCTTTTATCTAGAAATCACGTATGGAGCAATTAAACCATGTGCCCAGAAAACTACAATTAAGTAGCTACTTACTGAAGTTAGCACTGTTTAAATGTGGAATTATCCTAAATGAAAGACCACTGAGTCTGCTGGAATAAAGAACATTGTAGAAAGGCAAAATATAGATACTTACTTGATTTATTTTGCAACTGCCAAGGTTGAAAAATCAGGGGGTCAAAGAAGAAAACTGAAAAGAATGTTCTAGCCTATGAGAAATGTGACTAGTCTTTTCCTGCCATTATTTTACACTCTGTACTTAATTCTTCCAAAATACAAATTCATTCATGAGAGTAAATGTTTTGTTCTTCTTAAGACTGAATCCACATAACAGTGTTGTTGAATAAGGAAAGTCATCTGAAACCAGCATAAAACAATGATTTAGTCTGTTAATAAAAGTCATAGTTCCCTCCTAAATTATGAACAAATGAAAATTGTAATTACTTTTAAAAGATATTTAATACTTCCTGATCAGTCAATTGTATTTTTTTTTTCCCCCTGCGGTACGCGGGCCTCTCACTGTTGTGGCCTCTCCCGTTGAGGAGCACAGGCTCCGGATGCACAGGCCCAGCGGCCATGGCTCACGGGCCCAGCTGCTCCGCAGCATGTGGGATCTTCCCCGACCAGGGCATGAACCCATGTCCCCTGCATCGGCAGGTGGACTCTCAACCACTGCACCACCAGGGAAGCCCCAATTGTATTTTTTTATGTCATAACTTTCAAAATCTCTTACTTTCCCTTCACCCCACGTTCAGCAAATGCATAGATCTAAAACTACATTCATCCTATGTATAAGTCTATTTTAAGAGAGGAAGACATCATCTACTAAGTTTTGGGCTTTAAGAGAATAGAACTGTGTTTATGTCAAAAGGTCTTCTCCAAATACGTGCTATTAGAGAAATTTTGAAAACATTATTTGAGCTCAATTCTTATAACTTACATGTTATACACACTGTTTTTAAACCCACAGACTCTTTTCTTAGAAACCATAACTAACATATGTAAAGAGCAGGAAACAAAATCTTCATTAAAAAATTAAACACGTAAGTAAATATGTAGTACCATTTAAATGTCAGTGCCATAGCTTCTATTATATTTAGAGTTTATATGAAATCATGAAGGTGGGTGCATGCCTAAATTAAGATGCATTTCTCTATAGGAAAGCACTTTTAAAAATTCCTAGTAAAGGGCTCAACAATTCCAAGACAAATTTTTGGAAAATACGTTTTAAAAGGTATAAATATTAATAAGAAAATGAAAAGCTTATAATCCTTTCTCTTTAAAAGAGAAAGGAATGCGTCTTTTAAAAAGCTCTGCACTCTCTCCATTTTTGTTATGTTGGTATCACATTATCTGATTAATCTATTGATGGACACAAAGAGGTTACCTTTGAATATAAGTTTTGTACTTATATGTTTGACACTGGTACACTTCGTCCTCAAAGCCAATCTCTGTCTGACATGAATAACAGAGATCAGCAAAAGTCCTTTGCTTTTTACACAGGTATGTTTCCAGCACCCCCAACTTGCAAAAACAAAGTACTTTGTGTTGCTTGGCTTAAGTGCATTTGTGTTACTCTATTTTAACACAAATCCAAGCAGTTTTATATATGCAATCTACGGAAACGTGCCTTCCGAATTCGTAGAGTAACACAAGCTTCTCATGTTTACTTTTCCACAAGTACATTCTCCAAAACTTAAAATGTCACTTGTGTGAAAAGAAAGTGTTTGTGTTGGTTTAGTCCTATGACTTGTGTGCTAGTACAGAATTGCATATACGTTATATGTAGTGTGTTTGGGGGAAACTGTTGTGTATGTGTCTCAGCATTAAACCCGGATTTGCTTTTCTTTTGTTAATGACAGTGGAGAAGGTCAAGAGGATGCAGGGGAACTTGACTTTAGTGGCCTCCTGAAACGTAGGTGAGAATCCAGTGATGGAGTGAGGCGCTTTGGCCTGGAAATCTTTTAGATACCCACTCAGAGGAGTCAAGTTTAAAGTAGATGTTTTTCAAAGAATTTCTCATTTCTTAAAATGTGTTTTGCTTATGGGATACTATCACAGCGTTGACTAAGAAAGAGACAGAGAAACAACTGCATACTAATCTGTTAAAGATTTTAGCCGATGCTTTTACTTTCTTTTTAAATGTTTCATGAGTCTTCACATACTTTCTTAGAAGGGGATGAGGAAATCTGAAAACTGAGACAGAGACTTAAATACCTGAATACTTTTTATTTCTCTCATGATTTCTATTATTTCAATCATGATTCCTTGTCACGACTGAATAAATAAAGCCTCCATTCTTCTGCTTTTGATATTTGACTGAAAAATCAATTTCAAAAATTTTGGTAGAAGTCTTTTGGCAGAAGTCTCAGCAAGTATATATATATATATATATATATATATATATATATATATATATACCTTAACATAATATTGGTGATTTACTATATTTCATCAAATCTAAGACACATTCATGTTAATATATACCTGTATTTTATAAATCACTAAGCAATGAAAAAAATTGCTCCAAATTGTTTATTATGACATACTATTGACTATAAGGTATATCCTTATTTCAGAGATGTTTAAAATGTCCAAAAATGTGCATTTTTAGACGAGATAAAATATAGTAGTAAAATGGAGATATGTTTAGTATTATCACTCACACTCCCTTAACTTTGTACTCTCCGGCAATAAAATTTATAGATTTTCATTATGGATATTTAGTATACAACCATTTTACAGAATTTCTGCCCATAAATATGCATATACATAATCATAAATATACTATATTATATATGTGTTATATATAAAGATATACATATCTAGATATTTACTATAGCACAGAAGCAACAAAAAGAAAATGACTTTTGCTGGGATTGTGTTTATCTACCAAACTTGTGAATAAACAGTGAAACTATAATTCTAAATTAATGATATATAATATTGATAACAGTTTTCCTTTAGCATTTTAGATTCACTTTTTATTATTTTTACTGCTTTCTATGGTTACTAAAATATCGTAAGTATAGATAGAAATGCTTCAAAACAAATTACAGATAGTAATAAATGGGCTTGTGTTCATTCTCAGTTTAGTTGGATGCTTTATTCAAGTCCCTGTGAATGAAAAATTCACCCCCAGCTCTAAACACTTAGGTTGAGAACAGAAATATTAACAGGTGCCATTTATTAATAACCAAATGGATATTAGCCAATCAATAGACTTCGGCAGTATCAAAAACATTTTTCCTTCTCTGGATACTTCAGATAATCATTAGTCTCAATAATATTTATTAATTCCCCAGATGTATTTAAAGCAATAATATATGAAGTGACCTTAAGTGAGCCTCACTTTTCCTGTTCTGCAGGTGAGAAACCAAAGACCAGAGATGTTGAGTGACTTACCCCAAGTCACACAGCTAGTTAGAGGAAGGGCAGGGACCTAAATCCAAGTTTCCCTTTTCTGAGTCAGCATATTTCCTGTGACTCCACATAAGAAACGCCGCTCTGAATCTGCCTCAGAAGTTGGTGCCTCGGACATTTATAGCACAAATGGAAACTTTAGGAAGACAAGAGAGGTTTTTTGTTTTTGGGGGTTTTTTTTCCTGCATTTACTCAACCAGGAAAATACTAAATGCTCTCTTTGTGTAGAATATAATACTAGGTGATGTGAGGAAAAGAAATCCAGTGTCTTCCAGCATTTGGCACGTAGACAGAGCTAGATACATATTTGTGGAAAGGAAAAGGTAGTGGTTAAAACATGGATTTGAGTCTCAACTCTCCCATTTACTAATTACTGTGCATGACTTTGGTCAAATTATATATCCTCCCTGAGACTTGTTTTCCACATCTGTAAATGTGGAGAATAAAACTACTTAAGAGAATTATTATGAGAATTAAGTTAAATGTAAAAGGCCTGGCTCGTACAGGTGTCAAATAAATATCCACCTACCCCCAAAATGACATTTTCCCTTGAAGAATTTATATTCATAAAGTGACAAAATACACATACGCCCACACACACAATCAATAAAAATGTAATACAGTAGATTATTAGGTGCCAAGTCTGATTAAAAGCAAAAAGAAAGAAAAAAGAACAGATTAGTTCTACCAGTAGTTTGCAGAGTAAAATAAATCTAATTAATGGTCAAAATGACTAAAGAAAAAAAATTACTAGAAAAAAATGGGCAGTCAGCATGTCTCCAGTTCTCATTTTCTTTACATCCCCTAATTATTATTTTGACTCATAATTAGATTGTTGTTATCACAAGACTATATTCATTTAATATACTATATACTAGTCCACCGGTATAACTTTAGAAATCATTGTTTTCCTACTAATTTGTGAATTGCGTGTGTTTTCATTGTGGTAATGACATGTGGTTACCATTTCTACTCTTCCAAGAGTCTGTGACAAAATCCTTATGAGTATAAATATCATTACAACCAACATCTTTATACAACAAAAGATCTCCCTGCCCTGAACAAAGTCAGCCTATTTCAAATAGACAGTAGATAAATCACAGTCAGTCTTTTGGGCAGTATCTTGTTATGGGACTTGACCTATATAAATACTTAAAAGTTTATTCTACATAAAATTTCTATAACTGCTCTATATTTCACTAGGAGTGTCAAGTTATAGAAATTTCGATGTAGATGGAAGTGCTGTAAATGTTATATAGGTCTATCCCCATGCTTGGAAAGGAATCAGTAGTGCCTATAGAAATTTGGCTTTTTCTCTCTACTGAAATTTAATGTAGCCATGCAGATAGGGTCATGTGCAGCCACCACAGTAAATATAGATGTGTTCTGAATGAGTAAAGGAGATGCTACAGATGGCAGCCTTGACCACACGTTCCAGTACAAAATAATGAATCCATCTCCTTGCAATTTGGGATTCAGTGAAGTGATGGAGAGGAAAGGAAGAAGGAAGAGGCAAGAGGTCACTGGTATTTGTATTAGGATTAAGGTCGTAGCAGAGTGGGGTGTATTTTGGTGTTTTAATGAGAAAAAAAATGGTGAGGATGATTGGTTTTATGAATCTACCAACAAAACTGACTCAAGACACACACTGAAAATGATAATCTTTATTACTGGCTTCCTCATATAAACATTCACCTCATTCATCTAGGTATATCTCAGTGTTTGATTTGTGCCTCTTGTTATCTAGTTTAATCTAGTTTGATATCTTTAAATCTTTTCATCAATGTCAGGAGGACCCTTGAAATGTGTATGTAATTCTTCTTGGTTGAGATACAAATTGAACACAATGTAGTATGGCATAATTTTACAATGTGGGGACTCAGGCTAATGTGACAAAAATAGAGCAGTAATAAACTGGATTAAGGAAAGACCCACAGAGAATATATACATATATACACACATACACATTTAAATTGCAATTCTCCAAGACTTCCTACAAAACATTTAAATGTTATATTTGAAATTTAGACTGCTTTCAGGCAGTAGATATAGTAGATCAGGCAAATTATTACCAATATTTCAACTTCAGGACAATTTTATTAAGCTTTTCAATTTCCCCATGTTAATAGAGCATGTAATTACCATTTCAGTGAAATGAAGATCATAGTTGTGTCTTGAGTCTTTAAGAGGCACATTTTCCTAATGGTGTTACTAGTCCTTCCCACAAAGATTACTGATGGACCAATGACCTCTCACTTCCTTCCATTTCCCAGATTTGCCTCAGCATCCTCTACTGGGCAAAAGACTTACACAACAATGGAAATTAGATATGCAGAAGTTGTCCTTGCCTAATGCCACCCTAAACTCTATGTTCATATTTATATTTTCCTCCCCTCCCCTATGATTACAACCTAGTCTTTCCTCAAGAAATTCTGAAGCAGGTTGTAATTAATTGGACAATGCAAACATATGCAACTCATTATTTGCTAACATGATAGCATGAATCTGTTTTCACACTGTTTAAGATGTGTTGACCAGTTTTCCTGGAAAAATCATATCCAAACCAGCATTATTCACAGTAAGCAGTCGCTGTAATATTTCCAAATTAACCTTAGTTGATAAAAAGAGTCAACTAAGCTTAAACAAAATTAGGACTACTTAGCTAGTGAAGGAAATCAATTTGAATTATATTTTGCATTTATACTAAGTCTCTTTC